CAGGAGTCGAAGAGCCAGAATGGGTGACCGTCTGCTCAAAAGGGGGGAGGGGAAAGTCTCCCTCCTCTCCCTTTCGGATCTCGCTCAGAATCTCTTTGGCAGGAACTCCTGCCTCGATCATCTTTGCGATTTCTACGCGGGCCGCCCACGCGCCGATGGCCATCAGACCAGAGGTCTTACCCAGCTTTGCGCTGCCGGGTCGAGGCGACAACGCTGCCTCCGACCTCTTCATCTGATGGCCACGTCCTCTCTCCCACCCATCCATTCTCCCCCCGCTGTAAACAACGAGGAGGATGGCTGGTGGGCTTCAAGCCAAAATGGCCACATTTTGGTTGTGCTAGACGAACATTCACGATAGTACCCAAGGGCACAACTGGTGCTTCCACTGGTCGGCGTGCTTAGGGAACTCCGGACGTAGCATTTGTAGCTCTCCGGACTTATAACAAAAAACCAGGCGTCCGGCGTCCGCATGCCAAGGTTGGCGTTGGTGACCCACGTGTCCTTCTCCCGACGCGGAAAGGACCGACACGGCGACCGACACGGCCGTGCCGCGACGTGGCGGCTTGGCGACGCCTGGACAACTCGCCGGTCTTCTGTCGTCGCAGCTGTTGGTTCCTCTGCTTCCACCTGAGCGGATCGAGCGGATCCTCCCGATTCTGCATGAGGTGCGGGAGGCGAAATGAAGGCACCAGGGTACTGGCAGGGATGAGGATGACACCAAAACATGTGGCTCAGGTCCTTTGTCTGCATCTGAGGGCGACATTTCAATGTAGACCCCCTTGCTATCCCTATGGTAGTGTAGGGATGTGTAGGGTATTCCATTGGGGCACCCATTGGATGGTCCCAACGTGTCTTAACTGAACTCCTAGATGTAAAACATCACCCTTCTCCTGATGCACAGGGCACAAACCATTCTTTGTGTGCAAACTCTGCGGGCTTGTTCTTTGGAAACAAGCCATCTCATCTCCCAGCTATGTCCGTTCTCACCATGTGAAGCAGCAGGTGGGACCGGTCCCGCGCCAATTCGGGCGCCCCTGGCGACCCCACTCTTCGATCTGCTGCGTGTAGCGTTCGACCTCGCTACTGACCTGCGGAGGAGGTCAGAAGGCGCTGTTTGGACATCTTCCGAGATCTACCAAAGTGGCGGTCCACTACGAAACCTCCTAACTTGGGTGCCCTGGTGCCATCTAATCAACAACATAATCTTCCACTGGGTCCACTACTCCTTTTTTTTTTTTCGGGTATGTCCCGGCACTGGTCACAACTGTGGAACCTGGACCAAACCCTGCAGTATGGTAGACCAACCCCTCACACAGAAGTACTCAAACATGCATGATGTAAGTCCTTTGGGGACTCTGAGACCACTGTAGTGACTGTGGTGGAGCTTGATTTCTCAAAGTTTGATTTCTGTCCATTCAGGGTGATGTGAGATACTTCACGAAGTAAATGTGTAAGGAACTCCCGCGGTCAAGGTCCACCGTGACTACCACAAAATGGGCAAACAACAACAGTGCTGTCCACCACCAGGGCAGGATGATCTTCGGATGATCTTGAAATCGTGTGTTAACCCTCTTACGCTTCGAAAAGGAATGGCCACACCTGGCCTATCCTGGCCTGAACTAGGCTCACATTGGGGCACTGTGAGGCCCAAAAGAAACGGCCACAAGGCTTTCGCTCCTTGAAAGGATCATAGTTACGTGGATGGCGTGAATTCCTCTTCAGACAGGTGGTGCCATCCACTTCCATGTGATATGTTCCTCGGAGTGTCAAGAGCAGTCTGCCGGTACCGACGGTCGGTACTTCCACCCCACACGGCGTTCTTTGGTCTCTTCCCATGGCTTGGCCATGCTTGGTGCTCTGCTACGGGCGTCGTGCCCACCCAACTCGCCGAATCCTGAACCTTGCCACGCTATAGATGTGTCTGAAAAGGACCCCTAACAACCTCCACAAAGATCCGCCTGTAGCAAAATCACTCTTCTTGGGTCCTGGTACCTGCCTGCCTACATGTCTCTCTCTTTCTCTCTCTCCCTCTCTCTCTCTCTCGCTGCTACCTGTTGGCGGGTCATGCTTTATTGTGCTTCAAAAACAGCTCGCTCCAGGTACTGGTCAGCTTCACCTAGGGGTCCTCTGCATCTTCTGAATATTCATGTGCTTCACTGTGGCTGCTGTTGGCCAATCGAACAAAAGGGCCAGTGGGCACGGTCATGCAATCGCTCTCCAAGGAGGGTCTTCCTCCCATGAGGATCTAAGCTCTAAGAGTTACCCAAGCTTCAAAGATGGAAACCCTTGGGACTGTCCACTGTGCTTTCGGGACTAAACTCTCCAACTCAGCCTGTTTGTAGAGTTCACATCGTTCTTCCTTAGGGTCATGCTCCTTCTTGCATGCTAGTGAATCAAGGTATATTCAAGGTCAATATAAATATGTTGCTGCTGCCAAACATGGATGTCTCAACAACCCCTCCATGTTGGGCCACGGGTAACCTGCTGTGGCTTGGGCTGACATTGATTACGGCTCCTGCATGGCATGCTTCGCATCCAGCTCACCCAACAGGGTCCTCATGTCCTCAGTGAACGCACGTTCACGAACAGGTTTGGATTCATAATTGAGAATGCATTTTATAACTCCATATATTAATCAAAAGTATACTATACTATATACTACACCTGCACTGTTCCTATACTATATGCTATCTAAATAGAATAATACACAATAACATGGAATTGAAATATTTTGGGCCATCTGAATTTATATAGGTGTGTGACCTTCAAGAACCCGCCACTGAAAGAGACTTCCAGGGATCTCTTGAGGCACACAATGGATCAACAAACACCAGATTTAGATCAGATTTAGATTTGTTCAGGTTTGGATTCGTATGCCCTGGTGCACTAGAGTGACTTACTGCAAGCCTACAGTATCTGGAGTCATCTGGACTTCCAACAATTTCACCATAAACACCCATCCAATTACAACTTTCAAACTCTTTCAAGATCTCCAGCTGCTCATGTGGTCAGTGGATTTGCATGGATTTGTCCATAAATCATCCTCCACATGTTTCTACTCACAAGTCCACCATCCGCTGGTCTCACCTTGTTACCAGTCGACCAATTCTCGCGCGACAAGTCTCCACGGCGTCCGGCACCTTCAACGCTAGAGGCTTGCGACTGCCACCGCCAGCCGCAGGCGCCGCCGGCGCCTGCGGCGCAAGCGCCGTGGGCGCCGCTGGCGCGGCGGGCGCTGGCGCGCGGGTCCAGAGTTGCGGGCTGCTGGCCTTGTGGGGGCTGGCTCCTTAGGATAGCCGCGGCAGCATCCAAACCCAAGCCACCCAAGAAATCAAGGGATGTTGATGGCTTCTGTCATCTTATGAGTGACAAAGTGGCATGAAACTTGATGCTTTCAAAGTGTTGACTACTCATTGATACCTAGCATATCCTTGCGTTGGGCCATCATCAAAGGAGCAGTTTCAACTTCTGCCGTGCTTCTCTGACCTTGCCAATCCTCTTCCAGCGCGGGCAGAAAAATCGCATCGCGCAAGGGGATGTCAGGGTGCCGGTAGTAGTAGCTATCTGGCTCTTTCCGGCGAACGCCCCGCTCAGAGTTGGGGATCCTGAGATGAGAGGATTCAAGAGGAGGAATGGGGATGGAAGACCCACAAGAAAACACAAACACCTGGCTTCACGTCCGCAAAAAACAACCAAAGACTAGTTTGGGCAACCTCCCAACAACCCCCCTGTTGGGATTGGAAGGGGGTATGAGCGGGATAGTTCGTGGGATAAAACACATCTTGCAAACCCTGTTGTCAGCTGGAGACTTATGACATCATCTAAATGGATTATATATATATATCGGTGATTCTGTGATTCTGGATGGTGCAAGTTGAGGTGGTTGGTGACTGCCATCAGTCGGTTTTCAGCAAGCAGCGAAACTTGCGATGACATCGGAGCCCAAACCTGTGTGCATGACATCAGGGAAAGCGTCCATCGTAAGCTAAACAAAGAACAGTGGTTTCAGACTAGATGTCACAATCCCCAAAGGTTGTTTAAATGGACCCGCCCTATAAAATCATCGTTGGGTGCCAGTGCCATCTATTCCGAAACCACTGTATCATTTCTTGCGGAGGTTGATTGAAGCGAACTGGCCCAAAAACCATTTGTGCCAGAGGGGAGGGTTGCGAACTGACCTTCACAGAAACAACTCCTCGCTTGTTAAACCGACTGATCCACCGAACAGGGCCCTGCAGGTCTTTCTGCACTCATGTGGGAACCTCGCAGCGACTGGGCCCGGCGACCACGACTTGGCCGAGTGATGCCAGAAAAGAAGCTGTGGAGGCCCCAGGGAGTTTCAATCGGGTAACCCACCCAGCCAGATCCGGCAAAACACTCAAGCGCGCTATTTGAGCCCTTCTCTCTGACACCAGTTCGGTCTCTCGCCGTGTCTCTCGCGCAAAGGCGTTCTGGCGTGCACTGGTGGTAGTGAGGAACTGTTCCTCTCACTCTGTGGCCTGGGCACCGACTTGGAAGAGTGGCGAATGGACCCATCGGCGGGAATGCCCGTTGAAGTTCGATCCCCAAAGGCCTCCAGGTGAAGAATGGAATCTGGACACCTGCCACATGACCCTCGGCCGGCCCAAATATATACATCTTCATGCAACTGTTTCATTTTACCTAAGCACTTTTGCAGTCGAGTGTGGTTGCCAAAGTGGTCAAGGTAGACCAACTTGGATCTAAATCTGAGAGCCCCAAATGAGGAACCCCAATCAGCTCCATGTTGTGCCGGAACTATTTCTTCGACCAAATCGCTACACCACTTTGGTTCCTGAATGAAATGAAAGGAGGGCCACACCAACTTTTCAGTGTGGGATGACCTCTTCCATCCTCTTCCGCACCTCCAAAATCCATCAAAATCCGACCACTTTCTTCGCTCCGCTTTCTTCACCCATCTTCGTTCCACTCCCTTCGTTCCAAGGCGCGCCCTTCCATCACGGCGCCCCTTCACGCGCTTCCGCACCGACTCCGGCGTCGTGGACGCCGTGGACGCCGACCCAATCGACGCCCCGGACGCCGGCGCCGTGCCGCCGTGCGCGGCCGAGCGCGGCGTCGGCCGCTGCGCGGCCGAGCGCTCGGCACGGGCGAAGGCGCGGGCGGACTCTTCGAGACGAAGGATGTACCTGGGAAGTGGAATGTAAGAACAGGCGCTGAAAAAGGCCTGAGGGGTGGAGAAGTTGATATGAGTTGCTTAAGCTGTATTCATCCAAAGTTAGGACGCCCCGTATCGTTTTATAATGTTTGGTAGAATGAGGGCTGTATGTATCGTCTTGCAAGTTTTGCATGGTGGAGTCTTTCCACCAACGTGAACGTCACGGATCATAACAAACAAAGCACAGACACAAGCGCACAGACAACAAAACACAGGAACCCCTATTCCTGATCATTCATGATTTGAGAGCATCCCCTGCAAGCACTGGAAGTGTGATGAGCTCTGTGAAGTGAGGGAGGGCAACAGCATGCAGAGCTGCTCCAGCAAGCGCAACATTGCTGGCTTCTGCCCCTCGTTTGCTGATCTGATCTCTTTCACTAGGGGACACAAGCCTGCCTGCACTTATGCAGACTTGCCCATGGGGCACTGTTTGAGGAGCTTCCCTTTTGCACTCTCTCGTGTATCGTTGGGGTATCGTTCTGGGGTATAGTTTTATGATGTTGGCATTTTGTGTGTTTTATGACATCAAGCCGCTTGCAAGCACACGCGCTGCGCTCACGCTAGGCCAAAGAGAAAACAACCCCTTTCCAAACCATGACAGGTGGATAAAGGCGCACCTTGTTCCCGAGCCTAGCCTTTGCTCATAGGCTGCCAGCCCATGAGCCCACAGCCAGGACACAGCCCTTCAAACACAAGCAATCACCATCCCCAATTGCCTGCGACACTTGCAAGACCAAACCAGTTCATGAAGTGATGCCCTTCAGACCCTTGAGCACAAATGCTCAGAAGAGTTGCTGTAGCAGGACGGCATACCAGCATGAACTCAAAAAACTCAAGGAACTAATGCATGTAACAATAGAGGTAATATTTTTTGATCAAACGCCCTTGTATAATATACAAGTAAATGACGATAATTTTGAAAACGACTCATATATCCATTCAGAGTGTATGTGTTTGGGTGGTGCTTCGTAGGGAAGAGTAACACTTTACTTTTTGATATGTCCCTTTTTGGAGTGTATTTTGTTTGGTGGTGGGGAGCCTCTTGCAAAACCAGACACAATTCCAGGTATATAATTCTCTTGATTCTTTCATGAATCTCTCCGCAGCTGAAAGGATCATGTCCTTGTCCGATCTTATCTCAGCTTATCTCCTTTCCTACCGCTTATGTGCATTGAGGCGTCCGCAAAAAAGAAACATGTATATAAGCGACAATATCTTCCCAGCGCACCGGGAAGAAAACAACTTGGAACATGCGACATGCAACCAAGCAGTTTGGCAATGTTTGGTAGTATTTTGTATGGTTTTGTCAAAATGTGGAACTACAACGGTTGAGCGGAAGATACGGCGACCCATCCAAAGTCTTTCCCAGAACCATGCTCAACAAAAAACTGAGACCTCAGTCGAGGTCGATGTAACCTGTTTTCCATCTGTTCTGCCACTTAGTGGGGAAACTACTCCCCCACTCCATACATTTTGCAGGTGATCCACTGACCTGGCTTCGATCCGGCCCAGTCACGGTGGCTTCTCAGGCCCCTTGGGCTCCTCCGGCCCCCGGGGCGTCCGGCTGGGTGCGGACTTGCCCGGTGGTGGCGCAGGGGCGGAACGTGCGGGGGCGGGTGCTGCGCGAAACCTGCGATGAGGCGGAACGTGGCACCATGTGGCAGAGTCCACGATCAACAAACACATCAACATGGAACAACACCATGACATCACTGGACCAAGCATGTCCAACTGATTCTTCTGTTCTTGACATGTTATTCATCAGGCAGGCCAGGCCCATCTTATATATCACCATCTCATGCCAAGCCACGCAGGTCTGGGCTGTCGCCGTTCCGGCTCCGGTCGCCTCTCCACGCCCTCCACGCGAGCACGGGCGACCGGGCTGGGGGGGCTGTTGGCGGGCGGTTTTCGGCGGGCGCGGTGGGCGTGGACATCCACTTTGGAGTAGGACTTGCCCACCAGCTGGTCATAACCTGAGCAGCAAATTGTGGGCTGAGCCGAGGAAAACTGCTTTATGAATCTTTATGACTTAAGAAGACCACCAATTTTGTCCAGCTCATGGGCTTGGGTCTGTGTTGTCTGTCTGCTAGCCTCGGGACAAGAGTCTGGTTTAGATTTCTCGATTCTCTGCAACAATTGATAGACAAAATCCTGAACGCCACTGAGAGGTGTTGGGCACCCATCTCAGAAATCGCCTGATGTCGCATTCAGAAGCCCAGTTCAAGTTCGCACCGAGAGGCATACTTGGCATAAGTCATGTTGACACAAACTGCAGTGAAACCGCCCCAAATCCAATTGTCGACTGCTTCCACGGCAGCCAGGACGGTCACAATGCCACTCGAAATAAGCAGCCTCAGCGCAGAAATCCACCACAATCCTGGTTTTGGAGTAGGTTCAATGCTTTGAAGGCTAAGATTCCTCCTCTTCACACTGACAAAACTTCAAAAACCAAGTGGATTCAACCAATAGATCCCTCCTCCGCCTCTTCTTGGCACCCCAAATATCATCCCAAAATCCTCCCAGCTGCGTTGGCGGCCGCTGGCAGCGGATGCGCGATGCTGCCCAGACTATCGAGGCGATGGCCCTTGGGACAGCTCCCTGCCATGCGGCTGCCCAAATCATCATGGCTCCTTGGGCACATGCCGCACACGATTTTTTCAGAGTACCCGCAGGGTGCCTTTTTTGGCGCATGCATCCACAGCGCGGAGAGGGAGAAGAAGAGGTGGAGGCGCTCCCAGCTTTCCGGCATTTGTTGGGGTGCGTCCGGTCTAATGCCCCCGTCAAATGTCCTACCCTACACCGGTCGCTTTCCACATGCTGAAGAGTAGGTTGGACCTTCTGTCTCGTCTTCCCTTCACCAGGTCGCTCCGGATCTCTCTCGGGTGGTTTAGAACCACCGACCCAGGCCCGAAGAACAGGGCCTACCATCTGCCCCAATCTGCCCATTCCCCTTCGTCCGATCGCCGAGCCACCGATAGTAGATTGCCTGGAGGTCTCCCAAGTCCTCGTGGTCGAACCAGGGATCTGGTGTGGGTAAACTGGGCTCGCTGTTCGCACGCCGCACGCGGGCAGCGGCCTGTGCCCGGCGAGCGGGTGAGCGGGGAAGATACAAAAATAGGGGAAGGGGGAGGAAGCTGCTCTATGGAAATGCCAGTGGCCAAAAATGTGTGTGAATGTCAAGAAGCACGATTGCAGCTGCGGAGGTTTGGGAGAGCAAGTGCAATTTGCCGTACCTTGATTTCATACGAGCATGTTTACCAATGATGTGATCGGTTCATTCCAAGCATTTTCAACGTGTTGCCTTTTTCACCCTCGGTTGGCTGAAAAACATGTTGAACAACGTGTGTTTTCTAGCTGGGACTGAGAGAATAGTGGGCGGCCGAGCCGATTCTTGTCACTATTCACTATTCCAAGCTGGAAGCACCACTGACTTGAAAGAACACGACCCCATGTGGGCCACGTTAGATTGGACGGAGAACCAATAGTCCAGTGAATTGGCTGAGGGGTCTACCAGCTAAGTTGAGATGGAGATTGACCAGCTTTTAACAATTTGTATATGTTCCTATGCTAGTTTGCACATGGAACTGATCACAAGATATAAGGGTCATGGTCAATCAACAAATCCCCAAAGCCGCCTTTTCGACCCGCTTTCCATGGCAGCCCAGGTTTTCTCAGTGCGGCTGCCGGCCCTTTACTTGGCCACTGCTGGTCTGGGAAGATGTGGAAGATGGACATTGACATCTTTCACATCACGCGAGTTTTTCCACTATATGCATAATATATATATATATATATTGTAATTGTATCCCAGTGATGTGTGTGCGTACGCTCCCTCGCTACTTCTTTATATTAATTAAACATCACGTTGGTTCAAACATGTTCACACACTGTGGCACTGCATGCGTTTCTGGAAGAGAACCTCTGGCTTTTCCTTTGGATCCATCCGATCCGAGATCCCGGATCTCACCTCCAGTACACTTCTCCAAGTCTTCCGGTGCCTTCTTCATGGTGCTCTTCATGGGTACTGGTTGCTTCTCCAGCTCGGCGATCTGCTCGCGCAACACGCGGTTTTCGCCCTCCAGGCCCAAACACGCCTGGCGCTATGCATGGCGAAGCGCCAAGCGCTACGGCTGGGCACCATGCACTGTCTTCGAACGGCCACATCTTGTACCCTTGTAGGCACGTGGGTAGGCGGCTATAGGCGATAGACCTTTTTATAATATATAATAAGTGACGGTGCAGCCCAAGACTTCCAGGTCTATCCAGGTCTCACCTAAGAAGATCCTCGTGATGATACAATCTACCAGTTACAGTAAAAGTGATTTCCACATCGAGTGACAACCCTAACCTCCCCCCTGCTCCTGACACTGCGACCCACAAAACCCGCCAAGTTGAGGCAAACAAATATCCCCACACCAGTACTGATCACGTTCATCTCGCCACGTTCTATGGGCTCTATACTCCACATCCCAACTTCTCGACCTCGCTGGGTCGATGCGGTCGCTTGCTTTCGCCGCCGGAAAATCCAACGACATCGGATCACATCGCAGGCGACTCTCGTCGACGGCTCGGTCGTCCTCGACGCAAAAAGCATCGGGTGCCTTGCGAAGCTCCGAGACCTTTTGCTTCAACTCCTCGACCGGGTCCGGGGAGGCCGGTCGGCTGGTGTGACCCTGGACCCTAGCTGGAGAAAACCATCCATGTCCCGTTCTCTGGAGCGCCGGAACATCCATCCCAGCTCGGCTTGCTTTCCGGCCACCGGGCCAACCGCAGTGTCGAGCGGTAGAATGGCATGTTATCCCACTCGCAGTCGTGGCCACCCTCTCGCAGTACGTCACATCCCTCACCTGACACTTACCCAAACATGTCATCTTTGCCGAGACTGAGGGCCTCAGGGGTGGTATCAATCACCCGGGGGAGACGTGTCTGGGGCCCCTTCCAGTTCCCAAACAGGGTGAGTGGGACGTCGACAAAGGTGAGTGGGACATGTGCCGATCAGCGCGTTTCATGGAAGAACACATGAAGGAGGAGAAGGGAAGACCGCCTATACAGTGAAACTGATCATGTTCACTGTAGTAAAACGATGGGCGTCATGTCTAATATGGTTTCCCGTAGATCTTAGATATTCCCTGACGCCAATTCTGGGAAACCCAGGACGTGCCAACAAAGAGTAAACCAATGTCCAAACTTGACCAACCTGACTGAGGAAATCTGGCCCAATGTCATACCCAATTGGCAGAACAAAACAAACTCCTCAACGCTGCCCCCACCCCAAAAAACAAGTAAATATAGAATCTAGAACATATGTCCTAGAGCCGGCCACAAACAGGGGCCAACCCCTCCATGCAGCACCTGACTCCTCAGCAGACTTTGTATGAAGCAAAACCCTGCGTTTTCCCCCCCCCCGCCCACCCCGCAGCACCCCAAACCGCTCGCGAGACGACCCCGCTCGCGAAATCCCCGCGCCAGACGGTCGGCCCCGTCCTGGACGTTGCCGGAGGCCGCCCCACTCACCGCCGAGCGGAGGTACTCCACTTCAGCCTGCGAAGCGGGTAGAGATGGGGGCCGCACCGGGTGAGATCTGCTCGGGTGCAGAAGAAAGGGCCCTGCCCCAAAGCTGAAACGCTTTGATTCATGAATGGTCAACGAGTTCAGGAAGCAAGTCCTTCATGGAGACATGGTGCCAGCATGGGTCAGCTATGGCTAGCTAGGAATTTCATGGAATTTCTTTGCTTCGGTCCCAAAACTTTGGACTTTTGACAGCCCTCGCGTTCGATCTTGTTCGTGGCACGCTGTAAGTGAAACCCACCGCACTGTGAAGACTCACCCTGGTCTAAGGGATCAAGCACGAAACAAGTCACCTTCGGGGCGGGACCCCCTCACCACAACCAAAACAAACCAATTATCAAAACACCAAACTGTTGCCCCTTGCAACACGGGAAAATCTTGTAATGAAAAGGCGTCAAGCACATGAAAAACACACATCATTGTCCTCTGACACCCCAAACCCTGAAAAGCGCTTGGTCACGGTAAAGACCTTGGCGTTGCAACCACAAAACCGTGGTTGGCGTACCAAAGGGGAACGCGGATCTGAAGACCGTTCCTAACCCCAAACTCCTACAAGTAGCTATAGTTGCACATGCCCCTCATCCCAGTGTCGTCCCCTTTTGCCCCAAATCCGGGATGCCGTGGTCGACTGCTGCTGCCTGGATCTGCTGCTGCTGCTCTGCCGGGTCGACAGTGTCGCAGATCGTGGCCCTCATCTTCACGCGCTTCACGCGGTCGGCGAAGCGCAGAGTGCTCAAGGTCTGCCTCGGCGGTGCTCACGTTTCGACCGTTGGACCGATGGATGGATCAACCTGGGAACCGTTGGACCTGCACTGGGAGGTCTAGGCAATTGGTGTTTTGAATATCCTGAGACACTCCATGGCGCTCCATGGGACTGGTATATACATTGGGGTGGTGCCAGGGGGGTCAACTGTAGGCATATGCGGCATACATGGAGTGTCTGGGTATAATATAGCCTGCTACACGAGACACGTGGAGATTTGTAGAGCATTCCTAAATTCATGCGAGGCTTTTTTGATCTCAAAGGTGTTCCAACCCGAACGAACCCGTGCTCGCCCTGCAAAACATGGGAGGCATTCAGAAGGCATAAACGTTTGCAAAACGTGCCGAAGGTGTCAAAATATGACCTTTACGGGAGGGTGTCCGCTCAGTTTTGGGGAGGTTGGTCCAGGCTAATTTGAAGTGATTTCGCTGGAGGGTCTTGTGCCAGGAGATAAGCCCCAAAATGCACCTGAGCTTGAACAGGCAGTGCTGTAATGGAATCGCCGCCGCTCTATGTAATGGCTGTTCCCAGATGTAAAATCATAACAAACAACGAAGTTCGATTGAATTCCACACGGCGGGTAGCAGGTAACGACCAACTTAAACATTAAACAGGCCCAAACACTCCATGGGACTGGTATATTTGCCGATCAGGCCAGGGGTGATGCCAGTGGGGTCAATGTATAGGCATATATGGCTCAATGTAGGTGTCTGGGAGGCGAAGAACGAGCCCAACAAGGACCAGGACCTTCGATCTTTTGCTCCCAGGATCGGTTCTCCCCCGTAGGTCACTTAGAGGTCACAAACAGAGACTCCTCCAAGGGTCACGGACGATTTAGGTCCTGATTTCGGTGAGCCGATTTATAGGACTTTCTTTACACTTCTTGGTCCCAAACATAGTCGAACTGGACCTCGGTCGAAGCTCGGCAACTGTTCATCCACTGCCCTTGGGCAAGTTGCATCTGATAAAGGATTGAACCTCACTTCCGGCGCTGCCGCTGCGGTCCGGGACCAGGTCGCCGCTGGGTGTCGACTGTCTGACAAATGAATGTCTGGTCCCGGAGGTTCCCCGCCAGAAGTGGTTCCACCCTAGTAAGTTCATGTTCCAACGGAGCGCTCCATGCGGAGCTCCATACGGAGCTCCAACTCGGATCGCCAAGTCAAACCATGTTTCAAATCGCCTCCGGCGATCCCCGGACCGCCCAAAAACACGCCTGCTGGGCATGTCGGGGGATGAAGAACTCTGTGAATGGTAGAAGTTCTTGGGTGCTGCAGTCCATGAACCGTCAGATGAAAGTCTAAGCAGCCACCCATCTGCCCAACCAACTCATGTGTGTCGAAAGCGGGACTGAAACCCACGCGTTCCCACGGTGCTCAGTGAGTTTTCGTTTTGTGGTGAGATCTCAAAAGTTTTGCCCTCCAAACAAGAATTAGCAAATGACCCCAAGTTCAAGGGTATATCATGCCCTATGGATCCACATACCTTCTCAGAAGGTAATAAGTTCAAGTGTACAACACAATGCAAAACACGTACACGTACGCTCCCTGAAAATCATCAACGTGGATGGCATGGCCCGAAAGAATTGTCTTCGCCGATCTATAGATTAGATGGTGAGCTGTAGGAGGGTTCCAAACTCTGCCAAAAACACACCCAACTCTATCCAACTCTAATTGATATCAATAGGCGTGCAGAGTGAAAACTCGACAAAGCTGGCTAAAGCTGATCAGACTGTGTGGTAAAAGGTCTTCATGCTTCTTCCTGCTCGATTGTGATGGATTGCCCGTGAAGCAGGAAAGCCTGTCCAAGTGACAGCAAATTGTGCAAATCATCAAGGTGTAGCTATTGCCCGCGAGGCTATCTCGCAGCCTCAGTTGTTCCAGAAAAGAATGCCACACATGCGATCTCACGTGTGCCAAACTGCCAAAATGGTTTGCAACGGGATTTGCATCAGGGCCCAGAAAGTAAATGTCAATTCTTCTTAGCTGCCCAAAATTCTGGAGAGTAACTGCGTAGCTTCATTTGATTGTTTGACCCTGCATTTGATGGACTAGAGATCGGATCGTCGTGCTCGGTCAGGAACATGGGAAGGAGCTGTTCTATATAATGTTCTGTCGAGCTCCCATCGCTCACCCGATAGAATTGATATCATAATACCTTTCTCCAATCAGGTCATATTCCCAGTCAAGCAACAACAAATGATGACATAATGATGGGACTTGTATAATTAGCTGGAATTCAGGCCCTGCAACAAGCCAGCCCAAGCTAAACATCCCCCGATGCCTCCCTCCTGAACATCTCTCAAGGCGTTTGCTTGGATGATGGTGGTTACTAAAAGGCCTTTGTCAAAGAAATCGTGATGATCCTGTGCCGACTGTCACTGGTGCGGCGGGGTATGGGCCATACCCTATCTATCGATCTTCTCCACATCTTGTTTGGTTTCCCAAATGTTCCGTTGGTGTTCCAAACGCTACGTGGGTGTTCCCATCCTCATCAGTCTTCTCCCACTCGCATCATCCTCACGTCCTACGGCTCAGATTCAACCCTTCTCCACGAGTCAAAACAGGTGGAGTCCCTGATGCTCAGCCTGGTGGCAGTTGGGTTAAGGTGGAGTCCCTGTAGGGCACATGTTTCACCAGCTCTTGGCCACGTCGATTGGTGGTCACTGGCTGCGACAAAGTCCTCAATTTGATGCGACGCTGCGCGGTATCTCATGCATGCTTTGCCAGGTGGGTCACCACTAGCTGCAAAGAGGAAGCTTGTAAAGTATAAATATTGATGAATATATATTGAATGACTCCCCGGTTTCCTGTTTGTTATTGGATTCACTAGGCGCAGTCAAAGGTTCATTGGCTGCTTACCTGTTTCCAAACAAATGTGTTTTGATGAAGCGAATTGACTGAGTGTTGATTCTGGGTTTTGCCAGCTGGAGTCCTATCGCTGTAGATTTTTGGATTGACTAGCCTTTTTGCCCGTGGAATCGCAAATGCATGAATAACGCCTCATAGACCTCCTAGGCCTTGTCTAGGCCTCTCCATCTCTGCAATTGATGTTGGACATCCGCCACACCGGCCACGACCAGCGTAAGAACGATCGACCAAGAATTGGCCCATAGTGCGTGTGTTTGCCTGAAACAAGTCCCTTGGCGTTGTCCAATCAATCTGATTCTGGTGCGGCCTGCGAACCACAAGTTCGGCGACCAGCGAGTTCGGCGAAAGCGAGGCTAGCAGGCGACCAGGGGTCTACCACATCACAACTTGTCAGATCGACGTACGGTGCTGATTTGTCTCAGGTGACAATTGATCCATCAGCCAGAATGGCTGCATGGCTGCATCGGATGCAGCGCAAGAATCTGTTGCGTTGCACTTCTTCAGCTGATCTTGGACTGATGTTTAATGGCTTCTGGGTCCAGTGGCCCAAACAGGTCCAGTGGCCCAAACATGATCTGGAAGAAAAGACTTCACAAATTCTTCCACAGCAGCAATTCAGCTCTCTGACCTTCGCACTGGAAGGGATTATAGGGATTGAAACACTTGTGGAGCAACCACTCACGATCAGCTCGTGGCACAACATGAGGTGTTCTCCAGTCGATCGCGCGACCGGGAGCGAGATCGAGACAATGAAATGAGAAACCTTTTTGATGAGTAAACATGCTCAACCAGGTGGTCTTTTTCTATGGTTTGGTTGCTCCTAGCACATCTAAAAGTTAACTATGACGAAACCATATTGATTCGGATGATGGTACAGACCCGAGAGCCCCATGACTGAAGGTGCAATCATCGGACTTCGTGCTGTGCAAGTGATTGACCACGGAGAAAGATCAACACCCCTAAGGATCCAGGACCATCCGAATCGGACGTCCTTTGGCTCCACCATTCTCAACTCAGGGAGTACTTTTGCCAAGACCATGAAGTCATGAAGTGAATCGTCTTCCAGAAAGCTGCGGCTAAAGAAAACACCAACCTGCTCATGAGTCCTGGAGCACCCGAAGATCTATATACACAGCTTTCATGCAATGCCATGGACCTTCATCCCACATGCCATTGGTTCATTCGAAGTCATAAAGCACACAACAGCACAAGAAACTCAGAAGGTGGTTAGGCCCCCCTGGCACCCACCCCAACCATCTTCTCAGGAGGCAGTTGAAGCCCTAGAATGAATCAATGAATACTTGTGCGAGGGCAACTTTGGGCCACCAGCCCGAGTATGTGGTGAATGGTAAGTAGCTGCGGCTGCATCGTTCCAGTGGAACTATCCACTGGGAGATGAACAACTAAGGCACCTTTAAACGGAACATGCTGGACAGCTAAGGGTGGTTTTTAAGAGGCAAAACGAAACATCCCAATAACACATATTGCTGGAGAGGTCTGCTATCCTTAGGTCGCTTCACTGTTTGAACAGCCTTGAGGAGATCACCCGCCGCTTCACGCGCCGCTGCACTGGTCAAATCAACGAAATGGGCCTGCGGAGGTCGTTGATCTGATGCGGTCATCCGGGTTTGAACAAACTTTGGATTCCTGGAAAAGCCTGAACAAACATATCTAGCAAACATGACATGACAACCTGCCAAGGATGAACAATGTTGAACAACTTCGCCGAAAAGCCTGGAGGCCAAGGATCCTCTACCGATACAGCCAGCACAGCAAAGTAAGCACAGCTGTACCGAACATCGGACCACGCAGCGAAACCCACTTGGACCGAATTGATGCACAGGCTCCCCACGAAAGACCCATTTTTCTGAATACCAAACCAAGAGCGTTGTCCACTTCCATGTTCAGTAAGCTGCCCATTCATGCCTATTCCTTTAGTTTCCCTGGAGACATGAAGGTTAACCAATCAACAACAAGGTTAAAGGTTATCCAAGTTATCCACTGCCAGGGTAGGCATGAGTATAAGCACCCATCATGTTCTCCTCTCCAATGATCTTGCCATGGATCTGAAGGCAACTGCCCAAGATATGCAAGGACTTATTGATGGTCGCCAGCTCCCTCGCGTGCTGTGGAGAGATCTGAGGACCGTGGATCACCTCAACATCAACATGAGAACTCATCACACTGTCGTTGCGCTGCTGTCGGCCACGGTCAGTGCCTTTGGCCAAGTCCTTTGTTGGTTTTCAGTGATCTTTTCTCTTTAGAAAGGGAGTTAGTTCTTAGTTGCATACGTCTTGCCGTTTGTCTCTTAGCACTAATTAAGATCCAAGTGGAAACTCAGACTCTTCATTTAAGACTGCATCTGGCAAATCTCATCTCTCCTCTTGCCATGCTTGGGCTGTTTCTGCCACCTCTTATCGTGGGAAGCAACACAAAGGCCCACACCGGTATGCAACTGTCACCGCGGATGAACACGTCTGGCGCACCAAACTATCGTGCTGGGCCAAGTGTATCTCTTGGATGGCTCTCCACGCTGATAGGCACCTGGTAGGCACCTGGTCTCCATCCAAGGCACCCATCGCTCGTTGCCAGCCAGGTCGACCAGCCGCAGCTTGGACTCGCGGATGCGCTGGTCGGGCAGCTGCTGCCGGAGAGTGAGCGTCAGAATGCCTATAGAGCCAGGCGGCTAGGAGCTGCTTACGGGAAAAGTCCAGGAAAAGGGGATGAGCACTGGCGCTTGCCTGCTAGAAGATATGGTGCCCAGCGTTTGAGCTGTTTGATACTTGGAACTTGGAACCTGAGTGTAGAACTATCAGATCATGGTTTGGAAGTGGAAGTTGTGGCTTTGCAGCTGAATGTGATTGCAATCCATATGATAGCGGAATAAATAATGCGGTATGCATGCAACGCTGTATATAATATTGTCCTTGTGCGATCCGCAAACATCTAAACAAAGTACACCGTGTTCAACTGTTTCCTGGTTGGAGAGAAGTTAAATCAATGTTTGCTGTTTGCGTGCGTTTGCGTGTAGGATAACGCTAATCAATCTGGGTCAGCCCAGCCCATGTCAGAAGCCCGTTTCAGCCCTGTCGCATGCCAACTTCCGTGTGGCGTTTGGGCGGCGTGGGGTTGTCGTTTGGGCTTTGTCCACGGCACAGTGGGCTCTGGAAGATTGCTCGTTGTAGTGGGTGGAGCGAAGTGCCACGTTGCCAAAGCCGGCCATGAGATACTCTAGACATTCCTGCTGTGCTCCGCCAAGGTCAGGTGCTAGGTCAGGTGTTTACAGACTGCAGGCTGCCCCAGCCAGTGCAGCGGGTGGCGAAGTTCAGCGATCCCGATTTCTAACATGTGCCTACTCCCCCGCAAATTAACAAGCTGAGAATTGACCTGTGGAAGACCATTTTCCTCTACAACCCAATGGTTTTGGGGTTCCATGTTCATCTGCAGTAGAGTAAGCATAAAACATATTTGCACTCAGTTCATCTACCACAAATGCATCCCGGCACACGTCATAGAAACCCTGCTGAGCAGGGGGGGGGACATCGGTCGCCCATCGGTCGCCCCAGTCAAAGACCCGACAGCAACGACAGCAACGACAGCAACACGATGTCGTGTGTATGGCATCGGTCGTCCTCCAGGTTTCCGACCCGAACTTCACTGAGATCCTCCACGAACACATTCACATTCTGCCCGGGCTTCTTCTGCGGATCCTCTCCTCAGTGGTAGGGGCAATGGCACACAGATTTAGGGTGGCTTCCCTAATTGAAACGCACTTGAGTACTTGATGTGGTAATTCAGGGTCCAAAAATGTCCAACAGATTGCCCCAAAAAAACACGTCCTCTACAGCAGGGCTTGAAACATCATCTCCCTACTACAAGAGCCAGTGCGCGCCCCAACAATGGTTTAAAACCTTTATCATCCCGTCAAGCCTCGCACGATCTTCACTACGCCGCCTGGAAGCCGCGTTCGAACGCGACTCGCGACGACACGAAGTCGCCTGTGTCGCCGCCGAGCGTCTCACCTTTAATGGCTTGGACGGAACATTGGGCGGCTGTAAAAGGTCATAGCACCTCTCCTGGTGAGGACGGGACAGTGGGGCACCTCTGGGATGGGCCCCAGATCACCCCACTTCCGACTCAACTCCGACTCAATCAGCAGTGCCCCATCGATGAAACTCAACTCTTTTCGTCCTTAGATGAAGAACACCAGAACTGGGAGGCATCCACTTGTGTGCAAGTCGTGGGGGTGGTCAACGTCTGAGCAGCACCTGTTTCATCCTGTTTCTCATGGCCTTTGCGCGGCGTCTGAACTCTTCCTTCGAGCCATCGACCTTTCCACCTCTTGGATTTGGGTGGGCTGAGAAGCCCACTCACCTCTGAACCCCTACGCACGCGGGCGAATGCTTTGGGACACCCGGTCTGTTCAGCTCTTGCGCCACCTCTTAGGCTCGTGTGGAACAACACCGGTTGGATGAGGCAAGGTGAGGCAGTGGGGTTTCCAGGTGTTCCAATGTTGGGAAGATTCTGCAAAGCTCAGTTGAGTTGTCAGTGGAGGAAACTTCTAGGCCTGACGTGACTTAGTGACTATACCTGGACCCTCTTCAAGTAACCATAAAAAGGGAATTCAAGTTCCTCCGTCGGGGGGCTACTTGATGTTACTTGGGAGACTTCAGCTATATCTCCAAACAACTGGATGTCTTTCTTTAAACTAAGGTCCTAACAAACCGGTCTACAGTAGCACTTGAGGTAGGGTTAAACACACCTCCTTCGGACTGGGACTGGGCTCCTGATAGATCTGGACGTAGCTCAAGAAGATCTGCGCCTCCACGACGTATGGGGAAAATGGACTAAGATGGGTTTGTATTTCCCTATAGGGATCCAGTCGTACCGAACCTGAGAAGGTGAGGAAGGAGAGTAGCTGCCATGGTCGGGTCCAGTCGTACCGAACCTGAGGTTCGGTACGAAAACGGATCCCTAGAGATTGAATCAGGAGACACCCATATCTTGGGTCTATCGTATTATCTGTAACAGTGGATGATGATGGTTAGTAAAGGCCTTGTTCAAACATAGTGATAATTATTTACTGACTGTTACAGGTAATAGGACAGACCCAACCCATGTCCTAATGGGTTTGGATCTATTGTCCTCCTTTCAGGGGGTCGCTGCCTGGGAAGTCTCCCCAGTTGAAAATACACCGCCACCACAGTCACCGCACCACGGTCACCCCTTTGGATGACTTGCTCCACCCGATTGTCACCAGCGGAGGTGGTGGCTACATGAGACAGGACGGGTGGCTTTCCCCAAGACTTGATTCCTTGTTCCAGCCACGTGGTAGATAGTGGATGATAATCGTATATAGTAAACTCTGAGGTAAAAAAACAAACTCAAGTTGAGGTACAGTAATTACTTTGCCAAACTGTGACTCTTCCGGCAGGAAAAACATCGAATCTATGCACCACTTACATCGACTTACATAAACAGTACAAAGTATATAATATGTCATAATACTTCTATGCTCATGCAGCTATCTCAACTCAACTCAAATGTGGTTCCGCGCGGCACCGTGCGGCCGGCAACGGTGTGTTTGGAGTCTTCCGCCGGTGATGTCTGTCCACCCTGGTGCTCGACGCGCCTCCGGTGCTTGCTGGAACAGGTACTGCATCGTCCGGACGACCACTCCTCGTCAACTTGAGCCGATGCGTGTAGCCTGAAGTGGACATCCCCCAAAGACTGCAAGGTTTGGAATAGTATCTGTACCTCAATTGGGAGGGTTACTGTTTCACTGTTTTGGGGGGTCAATGCAGGTAAGCATGCAAGTAAGCACTCCATGTCTAGAATATGTTTGGAACAAATTGCTAAATAGGAACCGGGATGCCCTCTTGGAGCCCTCATCAAATCCCTTCGACTTCGATCAGTGGACGTTAGAAGTCCTACTACTACGGGATCCCGATGGTCCATGTCCGTTCCGGTTCCCCCCGAAAAAAGCCCTTCATAAACAAGTGGATTTACACAGTTTCCCGGGAAATACACATCACACGCCGACACCAAAACCGGTCTCCGCCATCCTCGATGTTCATCCTTTGCAATGAGATCACTGCTGGTGACCTGGCCCTCGAAGGCTGAATCCATCAACGCTGGGCCCAGCATGGTGTAGGTCTTCCCTGTCGGGCCACGTGTCACGCCTTTTCCACCGAAACGCAAAAGTTCGCCCTAAACGACGTTTCGGAGAGGATTCGATCACAAAAGTGCTGAGGGTGAAAGAAGACGGAATCCAGAAGGCCTCTGGAACTGTGTCAGTGACTGGAAGGCACTGCAAATGCTCGTCAGAACCTTGACTAAATGTTGATCTAGTATTATTTGAATGTCAATCATGATCCTTCGGTGCTTACATCACACGAACAGGGAGAAAAAAACAAGGGGGCCATCCTGCTCTACCAACATTGGCTACAGATTCTCGGTGTAACGCGTGCTTGCTACATCTCTGAATTGTGGATCGCACTGCGGCAAGCGACCACTTCCGGTCATGCCATAGGTGAAGATCGTGACGTTGTAGCCATCTAAAGCTTTGTTCACCACTGGCATAGCGATGCCCCACACTTCCTGCAGGACCGTGTGACAGCGTGCTTGACCAAGTGGGGCCGCATCACATCCACCCCTTGCAAAACTGATAGGTTCTTGGATATTAGGCCAGTAGGCCTGACTCCCTCAATTTCCCTGGAACATAGAGGTTATATAACCCTTTCGTTGGATTTGAGTTGGGAAGGCCCATATTTCCAAAAATGTTTTGCATGTTATCCACCACGTGTGTAGCCTCACGTGGCGTGCTTAGACCGCTGCACACTCTGATAGATACGAAGTGGGACCTGGACCATCCATGACCAAAAAGAAGCTACGCACGGTGGAGGCTATCGCTATTATGTTGGAGGCCATATACTAGTAACAAGAAGCTAGCTACTAGTACTACTATACAGTATTTTTGTAAAATGGAGATCCCGTGTCCAGTCTTCGACTGGTTTGTTCGTCGGAATGACCGAGGTTGGAAGGGCTACGTATGTGATGTGTTCGTCGGACTGTGCCTGATACATATAGCATAAGAATGCATAATAACTATTAATATATATAATGCATTATAATGCCATACTAGTAGCCCCATGCTGGCCCAATGCTTGGTGCCCTGCCGCACAAGCAGTGGGACATACCACCCCTGAGCTGCACAGGTTTACAAGTGGAACACGGAGGCACTGGCCAAACCCAGCAGTCCGTAAACTGTTTCGGTTTTTCCGTGCAGGGGGCTGATGTCAAAGGCGCATAAAAGGCTGAGCAATGTGTTGGGCATCACAGGCTGAAGGGGAAGCTGCATACAATCTAATTCCAGTACCACATGCCCTCAATTTGAGAATATCGGGCAACACTTTCTTGCTCACCGGAAGGTTCCTGCACCACCTTCAGCACTCCACGTCCAGGATCACACGACCCGCGTCACCCCGTTTGGGTGCAACGTTCCTGCGCAGCGAGTTCACGGCGGGTCCTCTTGTCCAGCTTGGATTCCCAGGACCTTGTCATATTGACATTCCACGGCCTTTAATCTTTTGCCACGGCCTGGTGCCTCCTCAGCGCCCAAGTTTGGAGCTTGGCGGTTGGTGTGCGAACATGGGGAAGTGGAATTTGGATGAATCTTGGAGGCCCCTCCCCCTTCTAGAAACGACATACACTCCCTCAACCTTCCAGTACTTCTTGCGAACGACTCGAAATCGGAGATGGACCGAGGGTCGACACAAAGGCTGCGAGCTGTATCCAGCTGGGGCCCATATCCCCCAAGACTTGAGTCGTACCAAACCGTTTCATTTCGGTGGGACAACAACACATGGTTGCCAACCCGTTCGGGTGCAGTCATTCCGAACCGGATCTGGCTGGAGCCCTAGGGATATGTGGAAGAACGCAAAACGGTCCATGATGGTCCATGTCAATGACTTGAAACCAGAAACAAACGTGTTCCCCTATGGATCCACATACCTTCTCAGAAGGCAATTGGACCCTCCAAGCCTACATCAATAGTCTCCAATCACCTTCTCAGAAGGTATGTGGATCCATAGGGTGCCACAATGATCCATTACAGCTGGAGAATCTGGCATTTTGACACAAGTCCCGCGTGCAGGAAACAAATCACTGATTTGGGCGGCGCTGAAACCTGTCACAACTTCGAGAATCCGTTTCGGTGGTCAGAACCACTTTCTTGCCATCCGTGCGTGCGCAGTGCCCATAGGACGCTTCAGATGGCAAGGGTGGTCTCGCACGCACGAGGACATTGGCAAAGGAGGGTGCGAAGCTGCCGGCAGGAGAAAGTGAAGCCCTTCGGCTTTTCATCTCATGCTGGAGTAGCCCGCTGAGCGGCCCCCTATTCTCGGACCGCTAGATCGAGCCATACGAGCCACGGCACAAAGACTCAATTGTGTTCTCTGGACGTGCGAGGCCCAGTGCAAACATTCAAGGGGCCTCTTTTGACTGTAGTATGGGAGTCACGGTCATAGGGCTTTCAAGCAAAAACATCTTTAGAGGACTTTGGAATGTGGCACGTCGCTTGTGAACAGTGGATCTGTCCGCACCTCTCGAACCCAACTCACCTTGCCTCGTCAGGACCAACGTGACCGACCGACGAACGGCACCGACTCTTCGCCCGGCCACGACCAGCGCGACCGCTTCGGTCTTGGAAACACAGCCAGGGGGAACAAAAACACCGGTAGTGTAGAACCATGCAGAAAACCAGAAAAAACCGGAGTCATATATGTGCGACGGCATGGATTTGGTTAACTCAAATACACTATCTCTTATGTGGGGGCCCTATCTCGTTTAGACGACTTAAGCAGGAGGTCATGTCACAGTATCTCGTTCAAACTACTTTAGTGACATCAAGCAAAAGTATCTCGTTTATGTGGGGGCCCTATCTCGTTCACACTGATGATAGACAAACAAATAGAGCATGCCATAGACTACTTTAGTAAAGCCTAAATAAAAGTGGTTGCTCATATAGGGGGGTCACCTCCCCCACAACCTTGTCTTTGTGTTGACAAAGCACAACCCACCAACGGCTGTGCTTTCGGCACCTGCGCTTCATACGAATGGTCAGCCTCGGTCGAAATCGGAATGGTGGGTCGAAATCGGTTGAACCGCTGGTCAGCGTGGCAGCCGGCAGCTCTGCAAACTGCATATGACCTATAGGACCTATAATATAACCCTATGTCGCATCACTTTCTTCTGCTTACGCTGGTATCATTGAGGAAAACACTTTTAAACACTTGGAGTTTACTGGCGTTCGCACCCAACGCACAAGGAAAAAACAACACAACAATATAGAAACATCCCTCTCAAGCCGGCAGGACGGATGGACGGACCACCCATTCCTTTCCAAGAAGACGCCCCAGCCGGGCGAGTCGGGGCCTGCAGTGTCTCTCTCAACTATTAACCAATACCCTATAGACCCTAGGGCTCCTGTCCCACCTCCGTTTCGGTTCGGTGGTTGGGGTGGGTGCCAGGGGGTCTAACCACCGAACCTGAGGATATAGTTGGAGCCCTAGGGAGAAGTCGAAACACCATTTGCATAATATGCCACTACTGAACCAACCAGCTGTTTACTACGGGTTTTACACTCCAAAGCCAGATCAACAATTTTAACATGGTCTTTGACTTCTAGTTAGTATGTATATATATATATATAGTAAATTACAATAAGTTATATAGTAATCACATCAAAGCCTGTGGTGATCCAACTTTCCAATGTTCCTCAAAGGCGGTGAATGAGGTCATGTCTGGAAAACCTACTGTAAGTAGCCCATTAAGGACATATTAATAAGTACATATTAAGCATTATTAAGCACAGCCTTCCAATCCTGGCTCGTACACATTCAAGCCCAGGCCAACACCCACAACCCCAGAGGCCCGGCTCAATAACTCCAGAGGCCCGGCCGCTGTCTCCGAAACGCCGCGCCAAGCGGCCCAATCATCCAAGGTACCACCAAAGCGCTTGGCGACCTGGCGAGGTTCTAAGCTTTGACCGGTTGCTTTGGATATGTTTGCGGCAAATGTGGAAAGTCATGGAATGGTGTTCAAGAGCCAACGAGAGTGGAATGGTGTTCAAGAGGTTTGCTTCTGTGGACATCGAACATGTCAAAAGATCCCAAAACGCGTGGCCAACATCACCAACAAGCTGGCCCTTAAATGAATAGCTTACACAAACGCATGTCTAAGTGGCTGTGATCACGTGGCAACTGCCTAAAGCAGTCCATACAACAAAGGAATCCTCTCACGTGCCAAATCTTGCCTCCCAGGAATTTACACGAGACGACTTCTTTCTATGAGACGACTTCCTCACCCAAACACTCCATGCATGCCATAGTTGCCGACATTGGGGTGGTTGGGTCAAGCTGAATGTAGGTCACAGTCCCATGGAGGTCGTGTCTGGGTCAAGTCACCGCTCTGTTTGGGCGGTCTGATCGACCGCCTTCTGCATTTCGGTCCCGAAACAGGCCGCTTTTTGGCCCAAAAGACTCACCGAACAGACCCTTTTGGCTCGAAGATACCGCGCCCAAAAGCCTTGTTGTTTTTATTTACCCCGCCCCAAGGGCCGTCGATTGGGTGCGTTTTGGCAGAGACTGGATAAGACTCCAGCTGCGATGCGTTGGAAACCCAATTCTGCCACCAAAAGGGTTTTGCCGCTTGACCAGCTGATTTGAATGACTAAGTCTCCTGTTGCATGCTGTGCAGCCAAACACGCACGGCACATACCACTGCTGTTGACCATCCGTTCTGCTCCAGACCTCCTCTAGCAGCCGAGTGTTGGTCTCCAGGAGTGTTTGATTCTCCTCCTCTTGCTGATGAAGGCCCAGCCTGCAGCGATGCAGGCTGGGCCAGCGGCCAGGGGTATAACAAAGTCGGGAGTGACATATCGTACAAATGTGTTTTAAGTTGTTAAGGAAGTATGGTCAAGACAAAGATCACATGAAATAGGGACACACCTGAACCATGAAGTTGAAAAACAAAAACTGTTGTCCACCAGTCCTGTGTCGAGGTGGCTTTTTGCATGGTCACCATCTAGTGAGTGGATATTCTGGACCCCGTTCATGGAACTGCCACTCCAAATTCGGTCTGGTGAATTGTACCATGTGCGTCCCAACATCGAGAGGGTGAATCTAAAACAGTCAACTCATCACGACTTCTGATCACTCTGCTGTCTTTCTCCCACTGCTTCTGAACCTTGACGCTTTCTCCCAAGGGGCGACACAAACTCTATTCACCTCAATCCATCTCATTCCCTTTGACATCTTTGACAATCATCTCAAGGGGTTGGTCTTCGACTTTGCTCAGCATCTCCCAGCGTTCCGCCGAGGGACGTCAGCAGCTCGACTTCCTCCTCGGCCGTGGACCTCTGCCTGGCGAGACCGCAAGACATCCAAATCACTTCAAATATCTTGAAATGGTCTCAAGGACTGCGAACAAAGACATGCATTTTCCCTTAGAAGAGAATCCACCCACAAGAGTGACCAAAAAAGTTATCATGCAGCGCTCAAATCTGACTTCTGCGTTATTTTAGGGGGGTTATGTGGGAGGCAGTGACAAAATCACCAGAAAAGCTCTCAGCCTCAGCTCATTCAATCTTTCCCTTCAAAGTCTTTGAAACACACAAACAGAAACACATATGAAGCCTTGGAACCTCCAAGGTGAACATGACCTAAATTCACCCGAACTTTGTGAAAAGCTTCAGATGAAGTGCTAGCTGCTAGCTTTGGCTGCTGGGTCAGTTCCCCGCCCACCGCGGTCCAGTCCCGTCGGTCAGTTCCCTTGACACGCTGGAGACGTCGGCAAGTGATGCTTCACCCCAGCCAGTCAAGTAGAAAAAAAACATTAATAGCCTATACACATCTCCTTAACGCTACTCCAAGCACATAAAAGCACAAATAGATCCCTTGGGCTCCAAGTACCTTCTAAGAAGGTGTTTCGGGTGGGTTTAGATGGTCCAAATACCTTCTGAGGATATGGATGGAGCCCCAGGATATGTGGACTTCTCCCATCCGGTCATAACGAGTACAAGTTCACGTCACAACTCGTTGTCCACATGTCTTCTTCCAAACAAAAAGCACGGGGTGCTCATCCAGCTGCTGTAGGGTCTCCAGCTGAAGCTTCAAATGCTCTTCCTTGGGTGAACAAACGTGAGCGGCCGCTGGCTACAAATGGGAGATGGCGGAGATGGGTACGTCGGCCTAGGTGACAAGCCGAGGTCGACCTGGGAGAGGTGAGAACGAAGCCGAAAAACGTGTCTCCGGAGTCTGGGCCTATGGGCGGCCAATGGCGCGGCATGTGAACGGGAGCGAGCAGGACGCAATGAGCAGTTGGGGCATTCTGTCTGCACCTGTGATGGCAAGTGCTTGTGCTTGATGCTAACAAAAGTCTATAGCAGTGGTGAGTTTGATGTTGGGTTTTGGTTGATCCACTCCATGGAGGTCGAAAGGCGACCCCTCCGCAGTTGGAATCCTGCAGTGACTAATGCCTTGTTTCATTGCTCGCCTTGCTCGCCGCAGTCACCACTCGGTGACTAAGGTGAAGGCTCCAACGGCTCCAACGGCTCCAAAGCTGAGCTTGGTGATTCAGCTTCTTTGGGGTCACCCCAGTGTGGCTCCAAATCCCCAAGGGGAGTCACAGCGATCTCATTCCCAGTCTTGGAGCTTGCTTTATGTAGCTTGGTGATTAAACATGCAACAATCATAATACATCATACTGTAAATATACTGTAAGTAGAACTCATTTGAAAGGTATATTGGCCCGATAGGCCTTGAAGGAACATGAAGGAACCTTTCTGACTAATGAGGACTGGTCCAAAGGTGACACCTTCTTGATCTTTCTTGCAAACTCACCCCATTCCTCTGTCACAGAACTGGTTTTGAAGGGAAAATGCACATGTATACAGGAAACCCATGGTTTCGAGAGGTGGAAAGCCATGATTTCCTGTAGAGTTTTCCCTATCCAACCAATCCATTGAATTCGGTCACTCCTGGTACAGGAGCTTATCCTTCGTTGCTTGGATCCGTGCCTCGCCACAGAAGAGAAAGGATATGGCAGAGAGGAAAAGCATATATGGGTGTGGATTCTAAAAAGGGAGACCTCGCAGGCAACGACCTTTCGAAAGAAGGGGAAAATAGACCGGTCGGTCACCTACTGGTTGGATGTCCCACAATTAAAATACCATAGTCTAGTATCTTTATATCACACAAAATCACGTATTTAAAAATTAAATAAAAAAACATGAACACCAGGGCTCCGGAACGGGTCGGTACATAGTTAATGATGGACACCTGTTAACCGTTCACACACTCTCTCTCTCTCTCTCGGACTGTTGGACACCCCTCGGGGGGGCCATGGCGGCTGGATACTGGCCCTCTGCGAGTGTGGTACTCTGTCAACTGGGGGCTTTCCAAAACAAGGATTTGCCCGAAAGTGTGAAAACCGGTGATGTTGCTATAGGAACTGGGTCAGCAACTTTGGTACATGACATCTTTACAAACCAAAGCAGCTGTTTGTAGGGACTTGGTCCTTGGTCGTCTTTCAATATTCACAACGGTGCAAGTCACAACAAGCGACTAAGCTCCAAAGCTCCAAGGCCTCATCTGTTGCACTAAGACCATCTCCTGAGTCGTTGTTCGTTTTGGGTCTCGACTCATGGGTCACGGTCACCGTGTCGCCCGTCTTTTTGGCCGCCAAGCGAGTGGAGCGCGTTGCATGCAGCGGCCGGGTCCAATCCACTGCGCGTCCAGCGACGCTAGTGCTTCTTCGGAGCACCTCAAACACATGCAATTCCGTTAGGACATGCATCTATAGTCGACGTCTTCCAATGGGAAACTCCAGCAGCAACTGCACCACGTCCCAGTGTCCATTCAAATATGCCGATTGCAAAGCTGTCGAGCCATCTTGCGACACATGATCCTGGTCTGCCGAGGCCTGCAGCAACTCTCGCACTACTTCTAAGTGCCCGTAACGACTTGCCAAGTGCAAAGCTGTGTGGCCATCTTGCTCCACCGCATCCTTCTTAACGCCTGCCTGCAACAACTCTCGGACTACATCCAAGTGCCCATGTGGACTTGCCAAGTGCAAAGCTGTGGACCCATCGTCTGCCGCATGATCCTGGTTTGCGCCTGCCTGCAGCAACTCCCGCACTACTTCCAAGTGTCCAAAATGGCTTGCCAAGTGCAAAGCTGTGTGGCCATCTTGTTCCACAGCATCCTTCTTAACGCCTGCTCGCAGCAACTCTCGGACAACATCCAGGTGCCCGTGTGGACTTGCCCAGTGCAAAGCTGTGGACCCATCGTCTGCCGCACGATCCTGGTCAGCGCCTGCCTGCAGCAACTCCCGCACTACTTCCAAGTGCCCCTCAGCACTTGCCAAGTGCAATGCTGTATGGCCATCTTGCTTGGCAGCATCCTTGTCAGCTTTTGCCTCCAGCAACTGTTGCACTACTTCAATGTGCCCATGCCGGCTTGCCAACTGCAAAGCAGTGCCACCAGGTTCTAAGCCATCGAGATCTCGTATGTTAGGATTGTGCGGAGCTTGGAGCATTGCTTCCACCTCCTCCGCCCGGCCGCTGGCACACGCTGAAGCCAATGATTGCAGTGTTGCAGCTTCAGGATCTTGAAAGTTCAACATCACCAGGTGCAGATGGCCTCGCGGCGTGACTGGAGCATCATCCCGCAGGTCGATGCTTTCTCTGAAAAGTCGTTGCCGATACCTGGAAATACCGGTTCGAAGAGCCAGGTGCTCTTTCAGTGCCCTGACTGGCTTATCACTTTGGATGATGGGACCCAAATCGTCTTCTTGAAGTTCAGCAGCTAGGGACCCTGACAGCACATGGATTTGCAGCATTGGTCGTCAGTGCTGCCTGGCAGGCAGTGCCCCCCAAGGCTCTTGAGCCAAGGCGAAGGCCACGGGTGATTTGCTTGGCTGGTACACTCCCACTCACTGACAGTCACTAACATGGACGTGGAAAAAACCCTGCTCGTAGTGAAGATCTTTTCGGGGCCGGTCTCACATGTTTCCCTCTCCGCATACATGTGGTTCTAGTGCGTCACCCTGTGTCGGGTGGGTACAAGACCCAACAAGCACTTGTTAAAAGCCAATATTTGATAATTTTGGGTATCCTGTTCTGAGCTCCGCCCTCATCAACCTGGGATCCCTTCCCTCACATCGTTGCAGCTCCACGCCTTCATCTTCCCCAACTCCAAGCGCAGCTCCTGGCGCCAGTTGCGCCATGGAGGCACTTTTTCCCAATGAACTTCTTTTGGGAGGGGAATAATTCGTGAAGGGGGCTGGTTGGGTGATTCCTCCCAACATTTTCTCCCCACAAACTGACATCCTTCGAGCCCAAAACGACTTTTCCATCTTTGATTCTTTGAGGGAAAGGGCACCAGGTCTTCCATCTAGGTGAACTCAAACACCGAAGAATCACCACTCACTTGGGTAGGAACCCCAGCCAGCCTGGACACCTTCCAATGAAGCGACTGAAGAATCGATCAAACGGCCTGGTGAGATCCGCTAACGGCCCTACGGCCCCGCGCAGGCGGAAGGACATGCACAGGCGCTCAACACCCCAAGCAACCAAGCCAACCAGCATGGACCAATGGAGGATGTGATCCAAATTGCGTACATAGGTAGTGACTCTAGCGAACTCTCATGAAGCATTGAGATGTTTACAAAATCCATCTGAATCCAACAGCCTGACCTCGTGTGGTGAGCACCTGACCTTGTAATCACTCTGGAGTACGTACCCCGGATAACGGCTTTGGAACGAAATGCTTCAACGTTTCCTGCCATGAGGCACGTTAGAAAGGGATTGGAAACATGGCCCCAAGCTGTAAAGGGACCTTGTCTTCCTGGACATTTTATCGTCTTCAAATGGCTGTTTACACAACATCTTCACCAAAGTCGGCGATTCACCCACCACCCAAAACATTGATCCGACGCCACACGGAAACCACCACAAAATGACCCGCAACACAACCACCCCAACAAAAGACAACCAAAAACCATTAAAAGCCATTTAAAAAAAGAAAAAAACAACCAGGAGTCACAAAGGGGTGGTGTTTAGTCCCTAAGTGAGTGGATAATGGGCACCCTAAACCTCCATGGATAGCACTCCTTTGTGACTGCTGGAAAACAACTTCACTCGACACATCTGATCTTCCCACCCAACTCCGATCCCCGCCCGACTGGCTTTGACTCGCCTCCTCTTGCCGGCGATGTCGCCGTGCTTGGCCCTGTGCCTGGCGCCGTGAATCCGGAGGGTTTGAGAAGCCACCAAGAACGCGTCAAACGGAGCTGGCTCCGGGGGTACTCAAAAATAGCCCAAAGACGCGTAAATACACATCCTCCCTAGGGCTCCTGGCCTACTTCCGTTTCGAAGGTGGGACTGGGGTGGGTGGGTGACAGGGCGGGCTTACGGGCTTAAAACTTCAAAACATTTGGGTGCACCATCAGATTAAATATGGAATATGGACCGACTCCGATTGATCCTGAAAACATCTTCAAGCCACCCGAATCTGGGCAAACATTTCAGTTTCATGGATTGTGTACGGACCTCTGTAGAACTGGCGGTGAGCCTCTGAAAGCTTCCAAGTTACTTACTTCCCGCACATGTCCAAGTGGTACGGCGACCTAAAGTATGGTCTGGTATACCTTTTCCAAGTTGGTGACAAGTTGCCATGGGGCATTATTTGTTGTAAGGGAAGCATGCAACTCCAGTTTCACCGCAAGAGAAAGGTCAACCGGCCATCGAGGACAACCTCTTGCGGGTCGTCCATCGTAGCTTTGAGGTCGCGGTGTGACAAACCAATCATTCAGCTGAACATGGGACTTGAAAAAAAAACTTACTGAAACCGAACTTTCCATTACATTACATCTTAAACTTCGATTGGGAGGAGGTATTTTCAATTGTTCCAACACAGTCAGTAAGTCTGCTCAACGTCTTCCCGACATGTTTCTCGTTCTATTAGGTGGTGAGAAATGGCCTTTTAGGCATCCTATAGTGCTAGTTCATGCTATAATTCTGAAAGTGGCGGGTTACAGCAGGTCTCAGGGTCTGATGAAACGTCTTTGCAGGAGCTTGCTACTATCCGTCTAGTCGGGATACAGCTCTTCCTACATGCCTTCACATCACCGCCCGACCCGACCCCAGAAAAGAACACACACAATAAAACATACAGAATGAAAAAGCGATCCCAAAGAAACCATGGCAACCTCACCTAATCTGCGCAGGTTGCAGTTCAAAGCCTCCGGATCAGTGCTGACCCTTCCACGAGCTTAGCCTAGCGCGAGCCTTGACCAGCTTGGCACTCAAGTCTTGGAGAGACTCCTAGCTGCGGAGGAAACCAATCACTGACACCCACTTCATCAAAAATGGTGACCTCTGTGATGGACCAGTGCTGTTACTTTTCCCTTTGGAATAGGACCACTTTGACGTCACTAGCTTTGGCCACCATCGGTATCTAGCTAGCTGGTCCACCCTGTCTCCTTGGCCAACCAATCGTGTCAGGGTCTAATGAAGAATGGCCTTTCAAAAAGGCCGGCCAGCCCGACCGCAGCCCAACCACAGCACATGTGAGTCACAAGAAATCAGTGCGGTCCTCCAAAGCGGCATCGGCCTAAGCCACAGGGAGTTGTGTTTGCAACATCTATATACCCGTGGATTTCTCCCCGACCCCCCACAGCAGAAACAGAATTGGTGGGGGGGGGGAAAGGAATGACTTCCAACGCTCCATAGAACATGCCCTGTGCTACTAGTAGAAATGCCCTTTGTTACTAGGAGAGAGGAGCTACTAGTAGCAGCCCACCGGACCTGCCCCAAGGACCTGCCCCCGGCCTAAGACGATGGACCGAACAAACCTTGGCAGCTCTGCATGCCATGTGAATCTTGCCCAGCCTGCTCCCGAAAGAATGCTGGTTGGCAGCATCGACTTGAAAGCAAATGAGTCAGTGGGATCAATATGGATGTATAACGATATATCTTATAATATGGATCAATTATCCCAAGTTATATACTGAGTAGAGGGTGAACATACCGGAACGGCACACATGCAACCTTTTGAAGGAACCGCGAAGATCCATGTAATGCCCTTTGTTAGCTTCTTGTTCCTAGTAGTAAGGCCAGGAGCTACTGGTAGCGTCCTTCCTCCTAGATGCCCTAAGATCTTCCCCTAGGATTCCCAGCCTTGATTTTAATCGCCTGAATTGACGGCAACTGTCGCTTTGTGCTCTTCATGGCCCTTCACGGTTAGCCGCAAATAGAGCGGCTAATCATACCAAGCATAGTTCTTAAGGATGTTACACTACAAAACCAGGTCGACCATTTTTTCATGCAACCGAAGGTTCAAGCTGGCTCCACCTCCCCGAAAAAACTAGACGACAGGGTGGCCCGAAAGCAAGTAGGCGGAAGAGAACAAATAGAAGGGAAGAAAAGCGAAGTAACAGAAGATGAATGAGCACTAAAGAAATGAAGAGATGATATATGATGATTCAAAACATTAAGATGAAACAAAATGAGATGATGATGAGATGACACAATATAAGTTGGACCCCCCTTAACAGCGCAGAATGTCAAGGAAAAAATGTACGAATTCTAGAGGGTCGAATATATAATATATATATATATCTATATATATATACATTATGATTATGATACTATTATCACGTTATTACCAAATCTATTAATGTATATTCTGTTGCACTGTACTTCGGAGCCCAAACGGTAGTCCCGGTCGATTCTTTTTTATCCAGCGCCGGTCGAGCTCAAACGCTAGTCCCGGTAGTAAGAGCCGCCGAAGTGTGCGAAATCGCACGTCCCAACCTGGCATCAGGACAACCAATGCTCATACAAATGCAACACTTGAAAAACAAAACAAATTACCCACAGTTCAACTCATGTTGTTTTGTCGGTTATCAGATATAGTTGCACACCCAGTCGGAACAGGATCGACTTCGAACAACTCTCGGTCGTGGATCTCGTGCCTTGTGGAGTCTCTGCACGTTCAGCTAGAACAAGGGTCGACTTCGGACAACTTCCGGTCGTGGACCCAGGTCCTTCTAATCAGTTTGGTCACGACACTTTGCAATAGCCAATTCACAGCTTTTCGCCGATACTTGTAACTTCGTGGCTGGTGACTATATGTGGCATCGACATGCCGGCCTCCTGGAATTCCATTGCGTGGTGTCCACTTTCATTTGGTCCCACTTGTTGCCGCTCAACCTGTTCAAAAGACTCAATGTCTCTGGAAACGAAACTGGTCTTTCAGGTCAAATCACAACAAGCAAAGAATATCATTCAAGTCCAACAATCGAACAAAAAAAGATGTCTATAGAGCTCTGTTTGCACAATTTTATCGGTTATCAGGTATATTCGCGCACCCAGTCGGAACAGGATCGACTTCGAACAACTCTCGGTCGTGGATCCCGTTCCTCATGGGGTCTCTGCACATTCAGTCGGAACAAGGGCCGACTTCGAACAACTTCCGGTCGTGGACCCAGGTCCTTCTAGCCAGTTTGGCCACGAATTCACAGCTTTTTGTCGACACTTTGGTCACGACGTTTCAAATTCCCAACGCCAGGCATGCTTGTGATGCTCCAAGGATCGCAGTGCATACAAGACATATGCTCGTCGCTTCCACGGTCTCAGGCTTGGACGCTGCTGGAGCACACAGTCAATGGCATCCTCGACACTGAGATCCCACCAGATCACCAGCCAGGCGCAAAGCGCGGCGGTACTGCGATTGATGCCTCCAAAGCAATGAAACAAAGGCGTAAACCTGATGTCGTGGTTCCAGTAGTAGGAGGCCACATCCCAAAGAACATGCATCAAATCTTTCCAGAAAGCTAAACATTCACCGGCAGACTGACGATGCTTCGCCAGCTCTGTATTTGGGTCTTTGACTGTGGGATCCTCGATGAACCACCAGATATGAGCGACGCCACAACGTTCAAAATAGGTGGGCAAATCTGACGGCGCGCCGCGCACCTGGATCTCGTTCCCACACAGGGTCACGACATGGGAGATCTTTGTCGTGTACTCCACCTCCACCGCTTCAATGTTGACAGCCGCTTT